AACATTACAGTTATGAAGTAGCAACGAAAATAATTTTATGGTTGGGTCACAACATGAGGAACTGTATTTAAAGGGCCAGAAGGTTGAGAACCACTGCGTTAGAGGGTAGCCCCCTCCGAGGAGTTGGTGGCCCTGCCTGTGCTTACTGCCATGTTGTAACCATGACAGGACACACACACTTTCTGTTCTGTGTTCACACCTAGAACCGGGTGCCTGCGTTTGCTCCACCGTGAACCTAGGACCTTTGCGTGCCATGTATTCCCCTGCCCCTGAGTCCTGGTTCACCCAAATAGGATTTGGCTGTTCCCTGAAACCACCCCAGAGTTTTAAAGAATCCTGATGCCTGGGTCGTACCTTCAGAGATTCTGATTGGATGCATATGAGGCAAGGCCTGAGCATGGGGGTTTCTTAAAAGCTTCCCAGGCAATTCTAACATGTACCACTGATGAAGAATGTGATTATCTCATTTCTTTTTTGGTAAATACATAGGTATTTGTTATCTTTATTTTCTAAATTTTGGAAGTGGTATTGGAGGAGGAAAATACATTACAAAAATGTACAAAATAAAGATACAGTAAATCTTGATTCCCTTCATACCCCAGAAAACAACTACTTCTGACGCTTGGTTGAATGTCTTTCCTGCCCTGTTTCTGTAGTGACATATTTGCCCATTCCCCCAACCACTGGACAAGTAAGAGATTCCCAGTTTTCCACTAAATAAAGAACAGCAGAAGAACATTCTTGAATATTAATTTAAAGGCATATTTCATTAAACAGACCAACAATTTTCAACCTTTTTCATCTCATGGCACACATAAACTAATTACTACAATTCTGCAGCACACCAGAAAATATATTTTTTGCCGATCTGACAAAAAAATAAGTATCATTTTGATTCATTCACACCAGATGGCTATTGTTGTGTTGGCTGTTGTCATTTTTTAAATTTGACAGACTAAGTAAAAAGAGGTCAGTGCCCCTGACTAAATCGTCAGGTATTGCAAGTTTTAAAAATTCTTATGGCACACCAGCTGAAAATCACTGAAATAGACTATAAAAGTGGGATTACGGGGTAAAAACTTATTAATGTCCAGAATGAGTTCTTATATACTTACCAGAGGCCCGATGCACAAAATTCGTGCAAGACTAGGCCTTCCTTCCCCCGGCTGCCAGCACTGGCTTCCTTCTGGCACCCAGAACCCGGGCTTCCCTCACAGCCCTGGCTTTGTCCAGAAGGTCATCCGGAAGGATGTCTGGTCTAATTAGCATATTACACTTTTATTATTATAGATTGGTTATGTGTGCTTTTTTTCTTTGGGGAATGTTTGTAATAGTTGGCCTCTGTTCTACTGGGGTAATATCTGTGTCTTACTGAATTATCACAGCTTTCTTGTTTGTTTTAAGGCTATCAGTCATGTAGGTTATTAAAAATTTTTTCCCAGTTCATCATTTTCCACTTAATTAGGTTTACAGTGTTTTATGACTCACAGAAGTTTATTTTCTCAAATTAAAATTTTTTCACTGTGATTTATCCCATTGCATTTTTTAAAAACAGCTTTATTGAGATATTTTACATAACATATAACTCATTCATTTAAAGTTTACAGTTCAGCGGGTTTTTTTTTTAGCATTTTTACAGAGTTATGAAACCATCGTTACAATCTAATTATAGAACATTTTTATCTCTTTAAAATTCTCATTAGCACTCACTCCACATTCCTTCCAACCCACCTCCCATCTCAAACCCCTACCCCCTGCCTTAAGCAACCACTAATCTGCTTCCTGCTTCTACATGTGGCCTATTCTGGGCATTTCATATAAATAGAATCATATAATATGTAGTCTCTTGTGACTTGGCTTTTTGCAGGTAACAGTATCTTCTAGGTTTATCCATGTTGTAGCATGTGTCACTACTTCATTCTGTTTCATTGCCAAATATTTTTGTCTATGTGCATACCACACTTTAAAAATCTATTCTTCAGTTTATGACATATGGGTTGTTTCCTCTTTTGTATAATGAACCGTGCTGCTGTGAACATGTATGTATATATGTATGTATTGCTTTTGTGTGGGTGTGAATACATTTTTTCCTTGGGTAGTACCTGGCAGTGGGATTGTGGTATCATATGGCAACTCTGTTGGGGATTGAGCCTGCAACCCTGACCGGAATTGAACCAGCGACCTCCTGGTACATGGGATGACCCTCAACCAACTTAGACACACCAGCCAGGCTCTTTTCCTACTTTTGATACTATGTTTCAGTCACAGAATTTTTATTTTGATGTAGTCCTGTTTATTTTTTGTTGCTGTCCTTTGATGTCATATATCTAAGACACCGTTGCCTAATCCATGGTCACAGAGACTTACACCTTCGTTTTCTCCTAAGAGGCTTTCTGGTTTTAATGCTTACATGGAGGCCTGCCATCCCTTTGGTGAGTCCATACTTTTGTGTATGGTGTGAGGTCGGAGCCAACTTCACTCTTTTACATGTGGATATCCAGTTGTCCCAGCAGCATTTATGGAAAAGATCGTTCTTTTCCCATTGAGTGGTCTTAGATTGATCCAGGCATTGCTGTGCCCTGAACCAGCCTTGTTGTTCCACGTACCCCTTTGCGAATTCTCTTCCCTGTTCCCTAGGCCAGAACTTTCCCTGTCAGAGCTGGCGTGGCTTGCATCTCTGCTTCATCCAGCCTTCCTTTGTCTCTCCTTTTCCCTATGTGAGAAATCACTTCTTACTGCACACCTCCGTAGCATGGTGCGCCAACTCCGTCCGCCCTGGCGCGCTGGGAGCTCCTGGTCTTTGTTTGTTCCCCTTGGAGCCTGGAACACAGGGTCTGAGCCCCTCCTTCAGTCACCCGTGTGAGGGGCACAGGTATGCACCTGTTAAGTGAATGAGATTTCAGCAGTGGGCATTCGTCAACGGCGTGTGGTTGGTTGAAATGCTAATGGACACAGCAATGTAAACATAATGCTCCATTACCTTTATAAAGCTAGGAACACACCTTCCCTCATCTAGAGAGAACTGATACTTTAATTAAGGTCCTAGCTCTCTCTCAGGGCCTTGCTCTCATCAGGCAGTGAGCAAAGGGGAGTATGTTTTAAATATATTTTTATTGATTTCAGAGAGGGAGAGGGAGGGAGAGAGAGAGAGATGAATGATGAATGATGAGAGAATCATCAATTGGTTGCCTCCTGCAGGCCCCACACTGGGGACTGAGCCTGCAACCTGGGCATGTGCCCTTGACCGGGAATTGAACCGTGACCTCTTGGTTCATAGGTCGACACTCAACCATTGAGCCAAGCCGGCAGAGCAAGAGGAGTATGTGTTAAATGGGGTTTGCCGGCAGCCTTCTCTGCCCTGCTTCTCTGTGCTCCTGCCACTCTCCCGCGTTCTCAGGCTTTGGCATGTTTGCTGCATGCCCCCCCCCCCAACCCCCACCCAAGGTGAATGATGACTGCAGGTTTTATCCCTCACACTCTACAGCAGTGTCAGCTGCACCTGTGGTGGTGTCAGATGGCTCCGATGGCGGCTGGAACCAACCCAACCCCATGCTTAGAAACGAGCCTTTTTATCTCTAGAAAATGGATGGGGGCAGGGGCAAGTGGCGGTGGGAATCTTCTTTCTGGTCGTATCTGACTCACAGAGAAGCAGAAGCCCATGGAAGCCATGGCATCTCCGTCGCACAGGAATGAACGTTAGTGTCGAGTAGGAAGAGAGAGAAGGTGAGATTGATGTTGCAGCTTGAAGCCTCCCGTTGGTTGGGGAACAAATCTGTGTGGACACGGTGGCTGGCTGTGCTCCAGGCCAGGGGCAGGGTGTGCAGAGCCCGAGTGGGGAAGTAAAGTGAGCGCAGGGTGGTGGTGTAGGAGAGAGGCCGGGAGAATAAGGTGCCTCACCCAAGGGAACATGGGACAAGCGGGCAAGTCTTCAGTAGTGGGGCCTGGAGCCTTGAAACCCGTAAGCTTTGTCTCGCTCGGAGGGCTTACATAGAGTAATAGCTAACCGTGTTCCCCACGGAACCCTTTCTCTGCACAAAGGTTCTGAGAAATACAATTGAGGAAACTCTTCCAAGGAGCTGTAGCTTTCTTGTTACTTCATTACCAACAAAGTCCTCTTTTATTGGTCATGGGTCCTAATTGGCCGATGATGAGTTCACTT